AACGAATGCCAGGTGACAGACAAAGTACGCCGACAAACGATTCATTTTATCTTTGCACCTTCAGCTAGAAAGTTTCAATCTGGCAAAGTTCTAGTTCAGAGTACTGAACTGGATACCAAGGTAAATTAAATCAACTTGTAGGTCTCATTTTTTTTAGACTCTTTAGAACGCAGCCCAAATCTTTATTGTCTGCTTCCAAGATAGATTCTTGGTTCAGATTTTTTTTCGGTGGTGAAGAATGCAGATCTGAGAAGTCCGTACAATTTGTTGCAAAAATTGAAGATGCCTTCAGGTCGTGGTTTGTGGACGGCCCCCACTGCGGTGCGCATGCCAACAGGAATCTGAAAGCAAAATGCCGTCCACTCAGCAGGCCAAAGAGCTCTTGGGGTGGTGGGTAGGGTGCACGCGCGAGCAGAGGAAAAAAATAAACCTGCAGTCGTCTCTGGCGAAAGGAATCATTCCGCAAATTGTATGAGCTCGACGCCTGTGGGGGTAGGCCACCCCGCGGCGCGCGCATGCACTGCACACTTTGTGTTGCCTACCAACCCGGCGCTATGAGAGCTTGCAACGGCTGAACTTGGTAGTTTTGTAGCGCTATCGACGGTACTGAAAAGAGTTGAACTCTGCTCTAGGATCAGAACGTGTTGTTCTTACCCAACCCTAGAATCATTCGGCTATGACTATCACATTTAACAACAAATCATGTTGGTGTGTGAACGTTGGTCTCTGTAGGACATTTAAAATTTGTGTTTTTATTGTGCTGTGTGTGTTAAGAGCACAAATTCTTCGCGCAGTTAGGGCCCATTTACAAGCTTCGTTTGAATAAAAAAAAACATTATGCACCACCCATATGCTTGGTGCTTGGTAAATGGAAGAGACAAACAAATCCGTGACGACGGTGCTTGAAAATAAAGTATGCCATAAAAGATTTTTTTTAACGGTGATGAGCGTGCCACATTGTGAGCGTCCCTCTGGCCGGTCGTTACGGTTACATCTGGACCGGGCCGGCGCGGCCGGGCGCCTGGCCACGCACTGCCTCGCCACGCACATTCGGCTACGCTCCGCGCCTCGGCGCACCCGGCTAATGTAATTTTGGTTGCAGCCGGGCCGGGCCGGGCTGCGCTGGGAGGGGCAGGCCCTGCCCGGCAGGGAGGCTGCCAGTGAAAGGTGTCTGTGTGTGTCAGCCCTTGTCTGCCGGCTGATTCGTCGCGGCGCCAACCTTAGAGCGGCGAGGCTGTCGCCCCACGTGCAACTGCATGTCCAAAGCGTCCCGCTCGCGTACTTTGACTTGACTAACCTCCAGACGTCTGTCGGACAAAGGTTTTTTAGCAGATGATACCTTAAAAAACTTTTGACTTAACATAAAGAATTTATGAGTAACTCTAAGGTGTCAGCTAGCTTTTACTCTCGATAAGGACAGAGAACCAAGCGCATGACGTCACCCAGATGTATAGGGGGCGAGAAGTTGTCCGCCGAGCGCGCCCGCCGTTTCCAACAATACTGAGCCGCTCGGATGCCGGCCGCTCTGCCCGCCGCCCGCCGCACCCTATCTCCTCCTCTATGCACGTAACAAACAGCAATAAATAAAGAAATGACAGCAAAATATGAGGGAATTTGAAACACAGACATATCCTTAAATTTTGTATCTTCGGCCTTCACAATACGTCCTTCGATGTAGTTTTTTTTGACCCGCAAACACGTAATACACTTGCAAATGCGTCAGTTGTTCTCATGCCCTATTTTGATAGAGCTGTGTGTCTCACATCTCATGGCGTGCCATAGCGCGCATATAAATGGGTTCGCTGGTCGCGCCGTTCCTTTATCCGCACATTCCTCCGCCGCGCATCATCACTTTCACGCCTCAAATTGTTAGCAGCCGGCCTGCCCTGTTACGCGGAGCCGGCCGGCGCGGTGCGTATATGCTGCAGTATTCGTGTTACTTTCACCCCGTGGGGTCCCGTCCCGCATGAGGTGGCCGACCTGCACTTTTAATATCCAGTGCTGCTGCGCGAAGCGCGAGCCTCCAAACTTTAAGATTTCGTTTCTACTCCCTTTGAGTGTCCCTTTCCCGGTGCCGTCGCGTGGTGGCGCCACAGGAAGTGAAGGGGCGTGCACGTGTCTCCCGGACATGCTTAGAGTAAACGCATGCCTGACTTGCCTGCAAGAGTTCGCTCTAGCCCCGGGACGTGGAGTAGCATTGGACACAGCCAGCTTTGTGGTACGCATTCAGGTATTGTACGGACGTCTGGGCCACTTGCTTTTGAGTTCTTGCCGCGGTCATGTTCTGTCTGTGATACACATCAGATCAACGACGACATCCTGTTAGTGCACATGGTGCTGATCGCTTGCTCCTCTCCGAGTTATTTAATGTTGGATTTGTGTTGCAATTGCCGTCCATCGGATGCATTTCATGTCTACGGACACGTCATTCTTTATACCAGCGTAAAGTCGGCCAAGTTACCACCGAAAATCACGTAAATATCGCACACTTGTAAGTGTGTGAACGCCATTCGTACATCTGGAGGCCCAAGTGAGTGAATTTTTAAAGAAAAATTCACACATTTGCCTCTTTAAGTGTGCGAATGGGCATTCACACACCTACAAGTGTACGACATTCAGACACTTGCGTTTCCAGTGCGCGTGCTAAGAGCGTTTAAAAATAAATAATCATTTCATGTTAAGGTCAATTCAGGAAGTGAGTTTGCAAAGGCACACTGTTAAAAGCTCACATTGATTTTCACCGTAAGCTTCAGTGAAAGCCTGCAGGACTGTAGCTTACAATGAGATTCGCCGTAGCTAACGGTGAGATTCACTGTAGCTTACAGTGAAATTCAGCGTAGCTTACAGTGAAAATCACCGTAAGCTACAGTGCTGTAGGCTTTCTCTGTAGCTTACGGTGAAAATCACTGTGAGCTTTAACAGTGCACCGACGCTATTCTACTATCCGTTGTGTAGGAAGGACTTTAGCTAGGGAGGCCTGCAATTCTCAGGGTATTTCAGAAGCCACTCCCTAATAACGAGACTCCCATGCACTGAAAATCTCGGAAAATCCTGCCAATTCATTCTAAAGAACTATAAAAGACGAAACTTGACTAATCGCGAGGCGGGTACCCGAGGTGGGTAGACAAAAGTAATGTTGGTCGGAAAATTGCGAAATTTTCCATTACAGTTTTATGCTTTGTAGGGGGTTAATCGCGGAAGCCGAGTAACAGCGGGCCTGCTTGTTGGTGCAGGGGCACCTGTTTAACTGCTCTGTGTTTGTCTGCCGATCGTTTTAAAATTAACAGAAATACCAGTCTTCTGCATTTTAAAGTAAAGTCCTGTCGTTTACCTTGCTCCTGCTGGGCATTTCTTTTTAAGCTCTGCTAGATGGGTCTGCATAAATAACGAGTGCAGTTTTGTGACGTAATCATCCCTTGGTGTCGGTCGCCTTCGTCGTTACTCCCGCACAGACACAATTCATGTTTCTCCTGTCGTTATGGCGCAGTGCATAACGCTGTCTTCCTTCCTGTTTTGCCATGACTGGATTGGCAGCACACCGTTTTGTTTTAGTATTTCCTCCAGTTTTTACTCGCGGCCTGCGGAAGCGTCGTGCGGTAGTTGTCTCGATCCTGGCCTGAGCCAGCTGAGCGAGCTTTCACGCCACCTTGGTTTGTAATGAAGCCGGTGGGTGTCGTGAATATAGGGACAAATTCCTCTGTTAGATCACCACCACCACTGCGGTCACCGGATTATAAGTTGTTTGGAATTTATTTTGTTCATTGCCTATCGATCCGATCGCAGAGTAGGAAAATCTCATATTATCGTTTCCAAAATTAGAAGTATTGAGCCTTCCTCTCTTAAAGTATTGCTTTTTTCCATTTCGCGCAATAAGTTATTATCTTCGGATTATGTAGGCTCGGAGGACTTTATTGACGCGAGCTGGAAGGAGAAAAAAGAGTCATAAACGCATTCTGTCACGTGATATGATAGACGTGCCGATGACAGACAGCGAAAGTTTAGGCATGGTGTACACTGTTAAATTCCTACAAAGCAATGCTTTGCAGAACTGCGAAGTATTTAGATCCTTTGTAAATACGAAGCATTTACTTTGCAATTACAAAATGACGCTTTGCAATTGCTTTGTAGTTACAAAGGATCTGAATACGTCGCAGTTCTGGAAAGCATTGTTATGTAGGAATTTAACAGTGTACTCTGCAATTATAATTCTATATGAGACCACTTTAATTGCAGAAGTACTTTTTTTCTCTTTCAGCAATATAAGAGAAAAGTTCTAGCGTTTAAATTATTTATTTTTTGGGTTAATTTGACGCTTCAAACTGAAGATATTTTTATAGTTGACACTAAGTCTCGTTTTCTGTTACATTCAAAACCGCGTTCTTTTCAATGTACTCAAGTTTCTACTTATTTCCTGCTTTAGCATTACGGCAGTTTTATAAATCACATCAACGTTGAAAAGTAATCCAATCTGATCTCCATGACAAGTGATTTGCGCAGCTAATTTCATACTTTCATTCATGCAAAAACTAAAGCACGCATTTCGTGGCGGTGAACAGTTTCCGCCCACTCGACGAGCCTTCCGCCCCGGCTCGTATTGCCTCGGGCGACGCGGCGCTAACCAGCTCCACTTTGTAGAGTGATTGGAGAGCCGTGTTGAACCTATTCGCCCTTCGGGAGGGGCCCCAGCCGGCTGCCAGCACTATCTCATGCAGGTTAAAGCATGATCTCATAACGTCCTCTCGGGGATGTTTTTTCTCTCTCTCGTCTCTTGTTCTCTTAGTCTCAGTCACGAACGAGATTATGATGCGTTGAAACGCATATGCACACTTGGGCAGTAAGGCGATTACGACTGGAACTGTTGCTCATTATGCGCGATTATGCGGCACTACAAAGCCGCAGTACCCCCTTTATCTTATCTCTTCTCAAATAAAATAAACAGATTGCTGTGCTGAATTTTCTCAAAGCAATGTCTTAATGTTTATTTGTGTTTTTGATTGCAGGTGAAGCCACTTCACGACTCCTTTAAGGCGGCACTCTCGTCGCAGCTCACTGAGGCCATGAACACTTTCTGGGCCGAATGCTACGAAGCATCCAAGGCTTCTGCTCTCAAGAGACACCGCGAGGTGGCCGCCAGCAAGATCCGTTTCCAGGTGAGATTTGATGGAGGAATGTGGTGTCCAAGCGGGTTGAGCTCATGAAGGGAATGGCCGGTCGAAATAATGGCCCCAGTGCGTTAATGAAGTAACTCACTTGCCCGGACCTGTGCTATACACGGAGTCAAAACCTTGAACCCATCCTGCAAATCAGTTGCCATTTTTTTCGCAATTACGAAGGAATGCGTTTTAATAACAGAACCAAGTGCTTTGCAACTGCGAATGGTTTTTGACGATCACTTCGCATGGTTTAAGTGTAGAGGGCTTGTATCGGCTGCTAGCTATTCATTATCATGTACCATTTGGTCTACAACAAAATGAGTAGAAAAGTCAAAGCCACACGTACATTAATAATTTTGCGGTCTTTACGAGCTAAATCTTTACATATTTTTGTGCAAATGTTTGCGCTAACTTAAACCCACGTCTCGTTTCGTACGAATTTGTGTTCATAAATGTATGATTTCAAATCAAAGGAAAGCATAAAAAAGCTAAAATTTACGCAGAAATGTGTGCAAAAACCTAATTGCTTAAATCCGTGCGAATATTTAGGGCGAGTGATCCGCGCCCTGTTTTTTTTCTGCTTATACTGTACCAGATTCCTGTGTGCGTAAGGGTTGTATACTCGCATGGGGGCTATAAGGCGCCATGGCGACCGACGATAGGCAAGCCTGGCCGCACGCATGAATCCGGTACAGCATAATACACTTTATTTAGTAGACGATGTACACATTTGAATTTGATAGAGTGTAAATTTGCTCGATCCCGATCAATTTCGGTCAAACCAAAAAGCGGAATGAACACCGATGGGTTTAAAATTACGCCATATTTCATAATCCGAATTCCGATCCGAGTGTGCTGTCGCCACTATATTGCCTTTCGCTTTCTCCCGGCCGGTCTCTTTGGCGTGCGATATGTGTAACTCAATATTACGTATGGCGTTGTTTTTTGGTGCTGCCAGTCCTATACTACGCAGCCTGGCCACTGGGCGAGCGGGGCGTGGCCCAGGGCGCCGCTTACCGGCCCGCTCTGCGCGAGCTCTGCGCGAGCTCTGCCCCTGGGAGAGAGAAAGTATTGCAGCCCGGCGAGGAGGGCTGCTGGGCTTAATGAAGAACGTACCGGGCCAAAGCCATCCATCGGACTTTACTAGCGTGCGGCGTGTTGCGCGTGTTGGAGTTGGTGGTGCTCGTGTCTGATGTTTAATTTCGAGGGTCGCGAACAAACGACCACACTTGCCGCCGCCTAATCTGTGACACTGTTCCCTCTTCCGGCAGTGGGAATGTTCACACACCAGTGCGACGGTTTGGCGTAGTACCTCAGGTCGCTCACCTTTATGACCCGCCGGGCGCCTGAATGCCATCGTCGTGAGAAACGCGTTTGCAAACTTACTTCTCAACAGCATTCTTGTTTAGGACGAAATGCGTTTAATGGTTGGGGGAGGTGCCACCATGCGTGGAATGTGACACTCATGGGCCAGAGCGGACGCCTGCGCTTATAGTCAGATTTCTGCATTTCGTTCACAAACGTAAGGAGATTTGTGTACTTCACCCATCACATACCTCCAAACGCCCTAGTTCTTCGGATACTGTCGCGAATACCTGTGGTCGCAAGATAATTCATGTGCAGAGGGTGTCTGGCCCAGCCGCGCTATCGGGCTAGAGGAGTAAAAGAAAACCGTGGCTCGTGGTGTGGAGTAGTGGAGTATGAGACCCCTGACGTAGCACTAGTCAGCACCCTGGAAAACCAAGTGTGCAACTAATAACTTGTAAGTCGTTGCAATTGTTCAACTCAATAGTTGTGCACTGCTAAGTGTTCAACTCGATATATTGTACAACTCCTCTGTTTAACACTGCGTCCTGTATATTTCGTGTACGGGCCGCAGACCGTAAAGACATGGACCGTTTACTTTATTGTCTAAGTCAAGTGCTGTATCGAACCAAAAGACGGTTTGCGAAGTTACAGCACATCAGGCGGGGTATAAGGGGTCGCCTCTAGTGAGCCGCCTGAAAAGTAGGCAATTTGTGCTTCAAAACCCCTGTATGTAGGCAAACCACAGCCCATCCCCCCC